GATGAAGCTAAATAGGAACTTACAGAAAAATTTAGACAAATATTTGCAAAAAAGAAAGGTTGAATATCAATTATCTAAGATTTCATTTCAAGAAGCTAGAAAAAGAACAATGAATCAAATTCAAATAATAGAAGAAAATAAAAGAGCATGAGTCAATGAAAAAGAAATTAGCTGTATATTAGTTAAGAGGTGGCTTTTGAAAAGATTAATAAAGTGTTAAATCCCTACAGAGCCTAACACAGAAAACAAAAAGAGAGTACACAAATTACCAATACCAAGACTGAAAAGGGAACATCACTTTAGATCCTACAGAGATTAAAAATATAACAAGCAGGCATTATCAAGTACTTAAAGCCAATAATTAGATATTTTAATGATATAGACAAATTAGAAATAAAACTTAGCAAAATTGACACGAGATAGAATATCTCAATAGTCTTATGCCTATCAAAGTAACTGAATCTATAATTTAAAACTTTCCTACAAAGAAAATTCCAGGCTCATTGGGCTTTACTGTTCATTTTTACAGAAAAGATTTATGGAAAAAAATAATACCAACTGAAATAACAACAAACTCTTCCAGAGGGGGGAAAAAGTAGTTACCAATTCATTTTACAAGCCCAGCATTATCCCAGACACTAAATCCTGACAAGGACTACTACAAAAAAGGAAACATACAAGACAATCTGGACATAGACATAAAATCTGATATAAAATTTTGAAAATCGAATTGAACAATATTTTTAAAAGGTAATATATAATGACTAAATAGAATCTATTCCAGGCATGCAAGTTTGCCTTAACATTCAGAAATCAATCCATACAGATGAATTTTGAGAACATTTTGCAAAGTGAAATGTTAGTCACAAAAGAATAAATATTTACATAAGGTACCCGAAGTGGTCAAATTCACAGAGACAGACTGAAGACAGAAAGTAGAATGATAGTCTCCAGGGGCTAAGAGAAGCAGGTAATGTGGAGTTATTGTTTAATGAATATTGAGTTTCAGCTTAGAAAAATGAAGAGTTTTGGATGGTGGTGATGGCTACAACAACATGAATGTACTTAGTATCACTGAATTGTACACTTAAAAATGGTTCAGATGGGGCTTCCCTGGTGGCACAGTGGTTGAGAGTCCACCTGCTGATTCAGGGGACACAGGTTCGTGCCCCGGTCTGGGAAGATCCCACATGCCACAGAGCGGCTGGGCCCATGAGCCATGGCCGCTGAGCCTGCGCGTCTGGAGCCTGTGCTCTGCAACTGTAGAGACCACAACAGTGAGAGGAGGGCGTACCACAAAAAAAAAAAAAAGTTTTATATTATGTGTATTTTACCACAATTTTTAAAATAAAAAAATCAATCTGCATAATTCAACCACACTAACAGGATGAGAAAAACCATACGGTCATCTCAATAGCTACAAACTACGTATCTGATGAAATTCAATACCTGTCCATGATAAGAAATCTCATCAAACTAGGATTTGAGGAGAATTTCCTTAGTCTGATAGAGATTATCTACAAATTTATACCTCATATAATTTCTAATGGAATGTTTAGGATTTTCCTTTAAATTCTGGGAAAAAGGCAAGGATGTCTACAATAATTACTTTTGAAGGTCCCAGCCAGTGCAATAAAGCAAGAAAAAAAGGGCATAAATATTGGAAAGGGTAAGAAAGATTTTACTTTATCACAGGTGACATATTGTGTACGTAGAAAGTCCAAAAGAATGAACAAACTATTATAATTCACAAGTGAATTTTAGGAAGATCACTGGATATAAGGTCAGTTTAAAAAAATCTATTATATGTATCATTACTTATTACATATTATATATTTAATATATTATATATAGTTATGTATTATATATATTAGCAAAAGTCAGAAAATGAAATTAAGATAATAGCCTTTACAGAATCACCAAAACATCAAATATATAATAACCTTACAAAATATTCAAAATTTTACTGAAAAAATACAAAAATTACTAAAATTAAAAGATGTGTATAAATGAAAAGGTATGGCCTGCTCATAGATTGGATGAAAATTAATCTATATATGTGATGTAATATCCATTGAAATCCCTACTTTTTATGGTGGAGTAACTGAAAAAATAATCATTCAAAAATGCATATGAAGGGCTTCCCTGGTGGCAGTGGTTGAGAGTCCGCCTGCCGATGCAGGGGATGCGGGTTCGTGCCCCGGTCCGGGAAGA